TTGGGTGGCATGGGTGGCCTAGTGGTTAAGCTACTGGCCTCTCACCGCTGTGGTCCGGGTTCGATTCCCGGGCACGGACCATATGTGAGTTTGAGTTTGTTTGATGTGTTGTTCTCTCCCTTGCCACGAGGGTTTTTCTCCGGGTCCTCCGGTTTTCCTCCCTCAGCAAAAATCAACATGTGAGGAGTGTTGTGTGCTAAAATACTTAATGGTAGAGGTAGTGAGTGTGAGAGTACAGGCCCCCATTTAAACCAGCCTACGCTGAATTGGGTGGCCTGGTAAAATATCGATTATAAGACTGGGATTTTTGTATTTTTTCAGAACTAAAATGATATGCAAGGTAATTTGAGTTTTAATAGATGAAAAGAGATATTTCAAAAAACTGTTATATGAATCGTCATTATCCGGGAGATTTAGCGGTAAAATCTTGTGACCGGGAGAAACGGTCGAAAATCTTGAGACTCCCGGATTATCCGGGAGAGTTGGCATATCTTATGGCTATTGTGCCCGTTATCATTTTGGCCAGCAGAAGTACCAATGAGTGAGGATTCAAAATGGCGCTTGACAGTAGCGAGGGTTTCGAAGAATTTTTCCATACTTCGATTCTCTCGCTATTTCATCAAGCCAGTAGAAAGCTGCACACTGATAATATAAATGTGTTGGAATATTTTGAACGCCGATTAGATGATCACGCATATGTTGTTAGGTGTTTTATCTTTCAATGCGAAGACCAAAATACAAGCGAAGGCTTACTAGAGCTACTTTATCTTTTGCACGAAGAGATCATCAACTTAAGAAGTCAGTTTCTAAATCTATGCTGTATGCTTAGAGACTATGCCTCTGAAAGTGGATTTTCTTGCCCCACTGAGCAAACAACAGGGTCTGGTAGGCCAAGATGAGGAAGTGATACAAGGATTATTTGATATTCATGGTTCCTGGAAAAAATGATAACGGGCACAATAGCCCCACAATATATTTTTCGGTAATGGCCTACATTTATTTCGTGCATACTTTATATATTTGTAGATAAATAAAAGAAAATACAGCGAAATGCATAGTCGAAATATGTTTGTTTTGAAGAGAATATTTGTGTCATTAGACCTAATTGTATATTTGTGTCATTAGACCTTATATATTTGTGTCATTAGACCTTATATATTTGTGTCATTAGACCTTATATATTTGTGTCATACCTTATATATTTGTGTCTATAGACCTTATATATGAACCCAATACTTTACATATATAAACCAATGTTATAAATATATGCCATCATAGCATATATATTTGTGTTATAAATATTTATTGGTATACAATATTGTCCCATATACCCCATAAAAATGCTTTAAAAGAAAATAAATTCCCATTGCTGGTATCATTATTTCTTCAAATTGACGCCGCACCCAGATGCGGCGTCTATTCGGGGGCGGCGTCTATTCGAGTAAATACGGTACCATTTTCTTGGGCTTCCTCTGGCAAGATCGGCCCGTCTGTGGGGTCCGTACTTGTGCTGCATCTTTACTGTAGTAGTTTGTCGAAGACTGCTGCGATCGATTGAAAATTCTATTAAGGCGTCATCAAACCGTTTTTAATGGACCCTCGTATGAATATGTTATCTTTTGGGSGATGTGTAGTACAATAGCACAAAATGTGTTGCCGACAAGATTCATTAGGACGATCGAGTATAAACTGACCTTGGACCTTGACGTAGACACGCACTTCAAGTTTAGCCAGGTTCTGTCAGGTAAATRATAAGGTGCCATYCACTCTTACATAAAAAAACGCGTTCTACAGATTCAGAAACCGCTACGAGGGAGTCTTTTTAAATTGTTAGAACTGATTGATTAGATGCAAAGACAATACCATCATGTTTATTCAAACGAAATCAGATACTAATGAAGCTCAAGTAGTGATAGACCTCTCTTCAAGCAGTCCTTAATATTGGAAAAATCGAAAATATATGTGCAACTCTCGATGAAAGGACTTGCTTTTACTTCTAATTGTGCAAGTCTCAAAATAAAATTCAAAACCAATCCACACTTCCTAGAAATAGCATACCAGCCTGACTTTCATCCCGCGCTCATCTAATCCGGCAAGTAAACAAGGAGTAAACCGGCCGGCAGGCCATGTTCGCAGACCTTCTACCTCTGACTATTCTGAGACTATAGATTAAAATCTATAGTCTCAATTTCATCGGTAGGAAATATAAAATCGCAAGTTGGGCGTATGGATAACAAAGATAAAGACCTTTAAGCAGTATGCAGGTAAGCTTAATAGTTTTCTTTTCCTAACCTTGCACTATTCTAATCTTTATTCACATTGTGCAAACACTAAAAACCATGAAAAGTCTTAGAAATCAAATTTAAATGAATTGTGCAAAGTCCATGTTTTCTCTTGTCTCAATCTAAATTGTAGTATTTCATCATGCTTCCTTTAATTAACATTTGCACTCTACAGTGATGACAGCTGGGATTTAGAGGTTCACTCTGCTGCAGCCACAAGAGTTGTACATTTACTCTTGAAGCTCGATAATTCTCAAAAACACTCAAGAAAAATGTGAGAAAGTTGCTCTTTGTATTGTAATTCATTTATTAAAAAGTGTTTAGATATGTATACAGTCAACTAAAGAAATTCTGTTCAATATTTAATATGAATATTACATGAGTGTGTGGAGATACAGATCATTTTATCTTCGAGTGTTCGTAACTCCAAGTGACCATGTAATATTCTGTTTATCGTATTATTATATATGAAAGCAAATTATGTTGTAAAAGTATATCTCTTTTTCTTAATAATTCCACTATATAGAGAAACCTCGAAGTGTTATTTTCACTAGAATTTTCACTTGAATAAGCTTATTTAAATTAGCATAATTTCAAATTTAAATTTAAATTTAATTAAATTTAATTTAATTTAATTTTAATTTAATTTTCAAATGATTTGTGATCTGTTTTAGCAAGAAAAATGTTAAAATCACATGATATTACCCACCATGATGCCCCCAAATAATGAATATTATGTACCTAACATCARTTTATTTTAGATAACGGAATGGCACCCCAGTCAATMGATCACATTCTCACACAAGTTGGCAGTCTTGGATTTTATCAAATTAGGCTGYTATTTATACTGAGTTGGGTGCTTTTGTTCAACGTTGGATATCCCTATCTTTTGCTAACATTTTTGATCATTGAACCACCATGGAGATGTGTTWCAAACAGTTCAGTTTGTGGGATCGTAGGGAATATTAAGCCAGCTGATAATGATTATCAATTTCGATGTTCTATTCCAAGGCATGAATGGGAGTTTACTGGAGAAAGGAGCACTGTTATAACAGAGGTCAGAAATTGTCACAATTGAAGTTAAATAATTATCCTAATGGATATAAACAGAAATAACATTCACTTTGAACTTTTTGTTCTCAGTTTCAGTTGATCTGTGACAGTGCCTCGTTGGCTGTAGTTGCTCCAACGCTGTTCTTTGTTGGCACTTTGGTGTCTGACTGCTTTTGYGGAATTCTCTCTGACAAGATTGGTCGGAAGCCTGTGATGATAGTKTTTGGATTCTTTGTTGCTATTTTCTCCTTGGGTGCAGCTTTAGCAAAGAGTTATTGGCTTTACTCTTTGTGCAGATTCTTTGTAGGCCTTAGTTATTGTGAGTGATAGCAAATGCTTATAGTTCAATTGGCACAGGGGTGGCCAAGGGGAAGTACTTGTCTTTACTATATCGAGACGTTCTGCTAAATGGGGTATGGTTGTTGGCTTTCTTGTCTTGGATAGGGTATAAAATTTCACAATTTTCGTGTCTTGAATAGGGTCAGGTTTTTGAGGTGCCAGCAGATCATCTCTGTTTATTAATAAGGGGTATTGAATGGTRAAGTCTGAGCCTCACCGAGCCTGCAAACTCTGAACCCGAGCCTTTGACTGAACAAGTCCGATATTTCGGCAATTGTGAGCTTCCAAGCCAAAAGCGCTTTTAAATCTCAGCCCCTTTCTGTTGAGCGCTAAGCTCGCAAGCGTTGGGATTTTTGTCGAATTTTGGGAGAGCAACTTCAYATCAGCTGGRCACATGGAATGATGTCACTCAGTTGGCCATTTCATCGAGTTTGTTTTGAGCTTTATAAGTCTTTCATATCTTAGAATAGAAAATAATAATCCATCCATCCATATATTCATTTCATTCATTTATCTCGTTTCAGCATCAACCTTTATTCCCATGTAYACCTTGAGTACTGAATTTGTTGCWGTTGCTCAGCGTCATATTTCTGGGACTGTTATTTGGTGTAGTTGGTCACTTACTGTCATGTCATTGGCTGGCCTTGCTTATTACTTTAAAGACTGGCGGCATCTGACTTTAGCCGGAGCTGTACCTGCATTTCTTATAATTACTTTTTGGTGGTAGGTATACACATAATAATGTTTAGAACATTATTAATCAATCCATCAGTCACTCAGTCAATCAATCAATCAGTCCTTCAGTCAGTCAATCAATTAATCGGTCAATCAATGAACCAATCAGCCAGTCAGTGACTCATATTAATAAAGCACCAATTTTGTAATTTTGCTAACCAAAAAAAAAAAAATATTCACAATGCTAAATGTGTGTACACATAATATATAATAATTGCATTTTTTTAAGGTTTACTCCCGAGTCAATAAGGTTCCTCCTTTTAAAAGACAAAACAGCTGAAGCTAGGAAAACATTGATGACAATTGCCAAGACAAATAGACGTGAATACCCRCCTGGCGAGACTCTTGATGGTTTGGTGTTTACTAAAGAACAAAGAAAAGGAAACTTTTTTGATTTAATCAGAACCAGAAAGATGTTGCACATAACAGTTTCTGTATTTTTTATTTCGTAAGTATACCTCCTCTCACCCCATCACACCCTTTTTAGACTTCAGATACCCTGCTTAAAAGTAAACATATTTCATGAGAATGAACATTTTTTGCCTTAAGGCTCACAGCAACTGTGGTATACTTGGCAGTCACCATTACTTCACCATCTCTTGGTGGGAATATGTACCTCAATGTATTTATCATGGGTATTATTGAGATCCCTGCTAATTTCATTTGTATGGTGGTTATTAAAAGGTAAATATCTCATTGTCTCAGTGTGTGACACATTCTCGTGTGACTTGGAATAATTCATTCACAATATAAGTAAACTTATACTTTTACGCTTATAGCTTGACTAAAATCAAGTTAAACTCAGTTCATTCAGCATTCAATGATTTATGACTTTAGACAAATTACTTATGATTATATTTATATCAATGTGAACAAGTAACGAATTGACTCAACATTCGTTAAGATGCGTAACGAATTGACTGGTAGCGAACTGACTTCGGAACGAATTGACCGGTATTCTTTTAAGTGCAGGATAAACTGTGTTTGTAGTACATAGATTGCTCTGCCGGAAGCTTGACTGTGGGGCTACTATTGCCATGAGGACTACTGGACCACTCACCCATTCCTGTATTCCACCACTGAAAGCTTGTGCAGTATATTATTTTTCTACAAAGTGTCTTTGCTACTTATTTCAGACCTAATTCCTTTTATCCCATTTGATACAAGTTGTATGTACTAGTAATGTGTATTTAGTTCATTGAGTGCGTATCAAATCACTGTATCAAAATGACTGTATAACAATTTGTATTGTTTTTGATCTATAAAATTTTTGGTTTATATTTCATAAGGACTATAAAATCAACTAGATATCCAGACCACTGACGYCATTTCTAGATAACACCCAGCCAGAGCCTTGCCCTTTTAAATGAAAATGCAAGAACAAATAACTTATGGTAATTAGAATTTAATGAAAGCAAAAATTTTCTGTTATTTGATTTGTGAAGGTTGGGCAGAAGGAAAGTGATTGCAATTAGTTTGATTGTTGCTGCAACTGGTGCAGTTCTTGTAATACTCCTTACAAGGTACGATCCAGGAAGTTACCAAGGTAAGAAAATCCCTCTTTTCATTCAAGGTACTGTCAGAGAACAAAAGGTGTAGTCTTAGTGGTCTATTTAATTTTTTTTGACTCTGGCATTTGTAATGCACTATGGGATCATATTTATTGACTACCGAACTAAATTATTGTTCAATGCCATTTAACTTAATTGATGAATAAAAATACCAAAGTCACAAGCACTGTATGTAATGAGTTTATAAATTGTGCTGTCTGTATATTTTTGAAGGTTTTGCAATAGGTAGGGTCTCAACATCAGCACTAGCAAAGATGGCAGTTTCAGTTGCATACATCACTGTGACCATGTTTGCTTCGGAGTGCTACCCATCAGTCATAAGGTGAGCATTAAAATCAGATTCTCTTTCCATGGATCTATATTTTTTTAAAAATCTAACTGTGTTGCAGGGGTACAGGTTTTGCAGTCTCCAATGCAGGAGTTGATATTGGTGGTATTATTACTCCTTTTATCATAAAATTGGTGAGTTACCTCAGAGTCTTAGTCTATTGCCTTTGCATCCAAGCATTAAAATTGGTGGTTAGATTGCTTTCTAGAGAGCAAGCAATATAGTGTCTGTGAAATACCATTAAAATCTTATAGTTCTTAGTAACTACCAGTATTTTAAACAAGTGAAGTTGTTGTAATGAAGTATTGTTCCCTTTGTTTGTGCCTTTATCTTGCTATTTTCTGGTTGACCGCTAGTATCGAAATAGTTCCTATCTAAGAACTATTATTCAGCAAATAGTTCGTTTTTATTTCACAGACATATTGTGTGCACTCTATCATTGCACACTCACAGGACCAAGTAACTTTGCATGTACATTTTATTTACTTGTTTTTCTTGGTCCTTTCCTGGTGTACAGGTCTTCCTCAATCTCGTACCCCGAGCCTTCGTTCTCTTGGTTGTCGAGGCRCTGGGGTACGAGATTGGGTCTTCCTGTATTTTGGCTCTTGCACTTTGTTTAACGGGTTCATGAAAAACACTCYAAATCTTTCTGGTTCATTTTGCAGGATCACATTAGTCCATTGATTCCATATGGTTTTATTGCTGGGGCTGCACTACTTTCTGGGATTTTATGTTTAACTTTGAAAGAAACTGGTGACAAACCAACCAGGGAAACACTAAATGACAAAGACTGGACAGAATCATGTCTGGCTGATACAACTGAAGGGGAATTCTCTGATGAGATTAGAGAAACAGATGTATAGGAAATTATTTAAATTAATATAAATGTACAGGGTATAATTAACTTATATTAGCAGTTTTTTAAAGTTTAAATCAAAAATTATTAGTACATAATATTTAATAGGGCAAGGAACAGCAGATTTAGTAATTTTTTTTAGTTTACCTTAAAAATTAAACTAGTCGCTTACTCTGTCCATAAAATTAAATCGCATTACATAATATAAGTTCTTATTAAATTTATGACTATTTGTTCATTCTTAGATAATTATTGTTTACATCTCATATTTTGGTACGAAGACTGTTCAAGTTCAGGGATAGTGACCAAATATAATGTTAGGAAGTAACTATTTAGATAATTATTATTTCATGGACATTGTGAAATCACAATTTTTAAGTGAGATTAAGTGAAGTCAAAAAACTCATAATTACATCAATACATCCCAGTGTGCTCTTATTACAATCACACTTTTATAATCAAGTTTTGTTTCATGGGTATAATGACTTTACTCTTGGAGAAGACATTAATGACAACATTCAATTTTTAACATAATTTTTATTCGACATAAAACACATGACAAACATAAAGAATAACACAAAGTTGTATTTAAATCAAAATTATTTTATACTCATAGGTATGTGAAATAAAATAATGAAAAATATATGGATGTAAGAACTTGCTTTGCCCCAGTTTAATAATTATACATATCATTTTCAAATGAATTTGATGAATGTGCATTTCATAGCCATTTATGAACATGAACAATTCTCAGATTTGCCTCAGAAATAAAATATGATAAATATATACTTTCAAGACTGAAGAGCAAAGAAACCAGTTAAAAAAGGGTTAATTTATACCTTAAAATATTTAGAAATTGCCATCGTTCTGTGTTACACTTTCTTTACAAAATGAGATTCCTGTCGTATAGCCCTCACAATGTCTAATAATATATATTAGATTTACTGGACTGTCTCATTGATACACTCATAATATACTCTGCACCAAAAATGTTGCTACACTAAGCTCTTACATGATAAACTTGTACAGGAATTACTTAAAAACCTATATTACAGAAACTATCAGGTGAAAATGACAAAGCATTACTTATCGTACATTAACTATGCAATTCAGTGTTGACTCAATTTCCTTTGGAAATCCATATCAATTTATTCTAAACATTTACACTATTAATATCATGCAGAAACTCTACAATACTGCATACATGGATCATCTCTTTGGTGTCTTCACTAACTGCCAGCTTGCCAACAGCTAAATTGTACTATATTCTTCGTCTCTGCCTGATTTTCTGGCTAATGTCTGTCCTGTCTTCTTGTACCTGTGAAGTAATGCTTGTCAGCTGGTTTTTACATGGCAACTAAATGTAGATAGACTGTCCTATACAAGGATAACCCATAATTCTGTTTGACATGCATAGTTGTAACAGGAAAACCTTTTCCTGTCTTCACCAGTATTTCTTTCAAGATTTATATATGTGGCAGAAAAAGTACTAAAAACAGAAAGTGATTATGAAAGAAGACAAAAATGAAAGAAAATGAAGAAAAGATAGGAAGTCAGGAAACAAAGATGTTCAGAAATTAAGGCAAGAGAAATAGAAAAAAAAAAGAAATAAATAAAAAATGGCAATGAAAAGCATAATATTAAAAATATTAAACATGCTGAATCTTTTACCATAGTGGGATTACTATCCCTTACATTTTGGAAGTAAAAAAAAAGTTTCAAAACACAAATAATACTACTTACCCATCTACTTACCTTTTCATCATGATAAAATCCTGAAAACAATCTCATAACTCAAAAAAGTTTTATACATAGGGCGGAAGAAAAGGCCAAAATATCTCACAAGAAGAACTTGTTACTTACCAGTAGTAATATCTAGTAAGGGCGGTAACCACGATCAGACTTCACATCCGAGGATCCCCTAGTTGCGCCTCTTCCCATAGGTCCATATGATGATTGAATCTGGTTGTAGTTACTGAGAGGAAAACCTGCATCGCCTGCACTAGTGTAACTCTTGGARGGTGCATCAACAGAACCCTGTCCCTGGCTATCACTACCACCACCACCACCATAACCATAGCTACTCATCATTGCCTGGAAATTACTCCAGTCAGCTGGGCTAGCACCCATTCCAGCACCCATRCCTGCAAATGGGTATCCATACCCACCACTAGATGGTGAGTCATAGTTGCTTCKCCCACTGACTGCAGTCGATCCACCGGTCACAGGGGAATGAGATTTCCCAGAATCCCGGTCACTATTACTAGCATAACTACCACTACCACTATAACCTCCTTTATCATAACTGCTACCTCCTCTTTCACTACCACCACCAAACCCACTAAATGCACTCATTGGACCAAATCCACCAGGAAAACCACCATATCCAAAACCTGGCCCAAACCCACTAAAGCCCATCCCTCCAAAACCAAAACCTGGACCAAAGCCWCCTGGACCAAATGCTGCRGGATTGAAGCCAAAAGGAAAGTAACTGCTCATGTCGCTATCTCTTCCACGGTCTCTGTCTCGATCTCTGTCCCTTCGATCTCGATCTCTGTCTGTAAAAATGGATAAAAATTTATGATCTATAGAACATAAAAAGAATATTTTTTGCTGAATGAACTCGGACCCCAAACAAAGCAGGATTGAAGCTTAAAATTCTAACATTTAAAATGATTCCAAAATATGTCCATTCTAAAAGATCAGTGAAGCTTAGCAGTGTAGCTACTGAACTTTTCACTGTATATAGAAATGTTTATACTGTATCAATTTGATTTTACGAGCAATGTAATTACCTTTGCTCTCTCTACCGCCAAAAAATCCAGCCATCCCAAACATCCCAGGACCCCAGGGACCAAAACCTGCAGTTAGACAACCAGAAAATGCCATTCACTGCACACTATCATGCAACAGTACTAGTACTAATGTAACATGCTCAAAAACGTTTTGAGACCCCCAACCGTGTTTCTGCAATGCAATTCGTTTTCACAATTACAATTGGACTGAATCAAACACGCTACAAAAAAAAAAACAAAAAAAAACACTGGTATGAACTTAGCAAGAAAATTTCAACAGTTCAGTACGGAGTGGCTAATGATATAGCAGAAGTGAGACTGTTTCTACCTCTGTCTCTGTCTCCCCTGTCTCGCGAGTCCCTATCTCTATCCCTGTCTCTGTCCCTTCTATCTCTGTCACTGCCATATTCTTCCTCGTGTTTCTTCCTCAACATAGATTGAGGTTCTGCTTTCTTTACTTCACACTGCTTCATTCGAATCTCATGGTACTTCATGGAACAGACTTTCTCTGCAATTTCTTCATCGTCAAAGGTGACAAAAGCGAAYCCTCTAATGCGATTGCTGTTCTCTCTGTCTTTCTTTAAATCTACATCTATGACTTGCCCTACACCGGCCTTCTTGCAGACCTCTGTGAAGTAATCTCTGATGTCATCTTCGGTCGTKGTACTCGCTAAACCCCCGACGAAGATTTTTCGAGTCTTGGTCAAAGCCATGGGGTTTTTAGCTTCATCTTTAGGAACTGAACGCTTTGGCTCAATGTCTCGTCCATCCAAAACATGACCTCGAACCTTCAAAACGTCGTCCACGCTTTGTGGCGAAGAGTATGTGACAAAGCCAAACCCTCGGGATTTACCGTCTTTCTTCATAATTACACAGTCTACAATTGTTCCCCATTGCGAGAAGTAGTCCTTGAGGCCTTCCTCCTCTGTCTCCCAGTTCAAACCACCGATAAAAATCTTTCTTAGTTTCTCRCTCTCCGACATTTTTGCAACGACGCCAAAAGAACAAAGTTACAATCAAAARCGACACCGAGATGGCCTTCTGGTCACGTGGATGCGTGGGTCTAAAACTTCGAATGCGCGCCTTGTGATTGGCTGTCTACGAAGGAGGAATCCTCTAGGGAGATAAAACAAGAGTCGATGGAATGCAAAGAAAATGGCGTAAAAACAAAACATAATCTATAATAGATCTATAGTCCAATTAACATGACTCACTTGTATCAAATACAGCTGTTTGACTCAGAAAATGTATATACCGTATCACTACAAACAATATCTATCCCATGGTACCCTCCTAGCCTCCTCCACAGGCAACTCTTTTTTCCTCCTTTGGGCTTCCTTTGTAACGGTCATTTTGGCCGTTAGGGACTAGTGACGAGATAGCATTCTCCCTCTTTTGACTCATCAAAAAGACAGGAAGCCCGTGATTCTTAGTGATGCCTGCGGAGGAGGCTAGGTACCCTCCCTAGTTGACATTTTTTAAATGAGCCGAAATGAAAACATGGCGGCTTGTAATGGTAACATTTCGGACAAATTTCTAGAAATCGAGTCGCAGTTGGGCAGTGACGTTTCTTCTCTCAGTTTTGAAGAACCTGTGACCCACGTTTACAACCCGCTTGAATATGCACGCGAGCCACATCGTGATTTTGTGCARAAATATTGCCAGTCAAAAMAGAAAGTTTTATTTGTYGGRATGAATCCTGGACCGTTTGGAATGGCACAAAACGGGGTAAGAATTRTCATTGMTGTTTAAAGAACAGCTGTTGTTTCCTTCAGTAATGCACTACATGACTAGGGTCTCGAGGAGGATGATATGTTGTCATTGTCAAGCTGTCACTTGCCTGAACTCTATGGGCTGTATAAAATAGGCATATATTAATCTCKTTTACAGATTATACCAGAATCCTAWAGCARTTATGGGATTCTGATCATACAAAATACTGCCCAAGTAGAATTTGCATAAAATCTTCAGCATTAGTTAGGTATAGTTAGTTTGGAGGGAACAGGTCCAAAGGACAGTCTGGAAACAGCTTGAAAGTTGACGAAATGGAAGTTCCTGTATAAATAAACCTGCATTTGTATTAAACTCCAGCTTATGTATTTTATTACTGACACCTTATATTTGCTATACTGATCACTGTAGGTGCCATTTGGTGACCATCAATGTGTGAAAGAATGGTTGCAAATAAGTGGAGATATTCATAAACCACCCAAYGAACACCCCAAAAGACCCATTCTAGGGTGGGACTGCACTAGAAAAGAGGTCAGCGGAGCAAGATTTTGGGGATTTTTCCAAAAACACTCCAAGACTCCAGAAAATTTCTTCTTAAACTGCTTTGTGTATAATTATTGTCCTTTAGTCTTCATGAGTGAAAGTGGCAAAAACATTACTCCAAATAATATTCCATTGAGTCAGAGAAAAGCCCTATTTATATTTTGTGATGATGTGCTACAAGCCRTAGTCAAGTTATTAGATGTTGATGTTCTTGTATGCCTTGGGAAGTTTGTGGAGTCTCGTTGTAAGAAAGTTTTTAAAGATTCAAATATTCAGATAAGTGGACTGATGCACCCAAGCCCTGCTAACCCAGCAGCTAATGCAAACTGGGAAAACATAGCATTGGAGCAGCTTAATAACTCAGGAGTGATGCAATACATAACAGCACCAACATGAACATTTTAGCAAGGATTTACATTTTGATATTACCCCTTTTGAAGGTACTGTCCCTTCGAATAACAGCCATGACTTCTGGTTTCGTCAAATTTCCTCCCCGAAAGCAATGGTTGTTTGCCCAGGTGCAACATTTTTTTCGGGGAGGGAAAAACAAATTCACCAATCGTTCCATCGGGACCGTTCGTCATGGATTGAAGGCCTTATTACCTACATTTGACGAAACTGGAAGTCATGACTGTTAGAAGAGACTATGTTGAAGGTGGAGAAAACCAAGATCAAAAGCAAAACTTGCAATGCAACATTTTTAGGGTTTAAAAAGTACCATTCTCTAATACAGATATCATATACTATTTGAATTGAATTTTGTACAGTCAAGAATAAGCATTTGGAAGCATTTTAATTTATATTAAAAACATTTATTTGAAATTCCTGTTAATATTCTCTTTTATACTTTGATACAAAATTTGATTAATGGGGGAGGGGGTAAATTACAATGATATATGGTAGTGTGTTACAAACAAAAGGATACTTATTCCTGTATAATGATTTTGTGATATTATACTTACATTATTAACCCTTGGATTCAAATCTGAATATATTATATTTATAAATGATATCATGACACTAATAATTCAAATATTATTATTGTCATTGTTAATTAATTGTTAATTATAATTRTAATTATTATTATTAAAAGCCCATTCACAATTGATGATATAAACTTATCTAATATTTAGCTTATTGATAGACTAGATTAAGAACAAGCTCTATTTTATCAAAAATCCAATAAAATTATCAGCAAAATGTTGTGGCAGCATATCTCAAGTGCCTTTGTTTGGCAAAATCTCGAATATAAATTTGTGTGTAGTGCAACAAAATGTTCACCACCSAACTGAAATTGTGCCGAAAATGTACCATCATTCAAAATGGCATTACTAATAACTATAATTCTATCATACTTTGTAATTTTCAATTTGAATAAAAGATCATTTATAATACATGTAAAATCATTATAGCCAGTATTAATGATTATTATAAATTGTTTTAAAAAATTCTTCTTGAAACAACCAAGGAATTCAAGGGAGCAATGAAACAATATACAGTATATTATTTTATAGAATAAGAGTGAGCCTTCTAGGATTAGAATAAGAGTGAACCTTCTAGGATTAGCGCAAGCTAGTTAGGAGAGTAATTAACTAAGAACTAAGAGGTAAAAACCATCAGCATCCTTCAAACTATGGACTATCATTTAATATAAAGTTTTCTGATTGGCTGTTGTACTATGGTCTATTCAAGTTTGCCTATGGCCGCATAAAGAAATAAGTGAAAAAGTTGGGAAAATTTGATTTTTGCTCGTATTTCAAATTTGTTGGAATGAATAGTTTGGTGGATGCTAAAATAATTTTAGTAGACCACTGGATTTGGTGGACTACCAGTACTAGACCATTTGTCCAAATACATCTTCATGGACCATCAGATGTAATTTCTATTCAGTGCAAACTAATGCCAAATACACTTCAATAATCTTCAAAATACACTACCACGCATCATTTGCACTGCTGTGTGACTATCATTAAATTATCAAAATATTCTAATAATTATTATGAAATATACTGCTATAGAGTGAACCCACTTAATCAGTTTAAGCAAAAATAGTACAAAATAGKTACTAAATAATACTAATTCTTTTGGTTCTTTTGTCTGCATCAACACTATTTGTAGTAATTCATAATATTTCTTTGAAGGATTTAGTGCATCCAATAAACACTCCACTATCTCTTATACTAATACTAATGTTTGTGAATAAAATTTTCATTAAGACTCGTTTTCAATTGATAAAGTTCCAGATAAGAAGATTTCTAGTAGATTACTATATTATTTTATGTAGTCTAGAATGATAAACCTCCCATATATTCATTTAACCATCAATTACTTGATGACAAGTCTTCAATACATTTGACTGCTCTAACATCTGATGAAATTGGTGCTTCTACCATGAACTTGACCCCAAACCACTTGCTTTGAACCTAGTAGTAGAAGAAATACAGTTTAAAAATAGCAMGTCACCTGGGAAATAAATTGTGATCATAGTGGCAAAAGATGAGCAAACTTAAAGCCACCATTACCACAGCTAAGTTACATTCATTGACTGTTAGAACATCTCTTATTTATATATTACAAAATCACTACAAACCTTTTCAAAATGTTCTGATTTAAGGGTAGAATACTCAATCAAAACATCTCTTAGTTCAGATTCTTTTCGTAAATCAAAGTGGGACAGTTCACTGGTCAAATCTTGACATAGTTGTTCCAAGTATGATTTCGCTTCTGCACAATTGGAGTTTGCCTAAAATAAAAAGCAAACATGTTATCATAAGTTTTGTAACTAAATTGTGTATAAAACTATAATCCCATA